TTTTTTCATTTATTTAATTTAATATTTTTATTTTCTTTTTTGTTTTTTAATAGCATATTTTTAATGTATTTTCTTATTTCGTTTTTTTTTTACATTTAAATCTTTTTATCTCTTTGGTTAGTCTTGTTTTTAACTTTTTTTCTTATTTTTTTTTTAATATTCTTTTTCATTTCACTTATATCTTCTTATACTTTAATTTGTTTTATTTTATCTAATTTTTTATTTTATTATATGTTTATTTAAACTAAAGATGTTTTTTTAATTTTATTTTTTTTTGCTTTTAAATTATTCATTTATTTAGTTTAACTTTTTTATTTCGTTTTTTTCAATTTTTTGATGGTAGTTATTTTGTTCTTTTTTAATTTCATAATATTTTTTATTTCGCAACCTTTTTTTAATACTGTTTTGTTATCTTTTTATTATTTTTAAAATGTTGTTTAATGAATCAAAAGTTTTTTAATGGGTTTACGCTTAATTTTTTCACATTTTATTTTTATTTATTTTACTGGAATAAATTTTGTGTTATTTTTCTTGTATTTTTTTTATTTAAATTTCTCATTTATTTAGTTTACTTCTTTTTTGTTTTATTAATTTTTATGATTTTGTTTTACTTCATTTTGTATTTGTTGCTAATTTGTTATACTTATTTCAGCGAAGATTTTAATTTAATTTTTTTAGTCGTATTTTTTATTTATTTGATTTTTTTTTAATTTTTGTTTTATTTTAATTTATTATATTTTTTATTAGAAGTTGCAATCCTATTTTGATTTTAGATTCGTCTCGTATGTATGTATCTATGTAGATTCAAATAAAGTCAACCAATCAGCCAATTTTTCTTTGCCATTTATTCATTACCCGAGCATTGTGATTGTGGTTGTTGCATCGATGACTGTTGTTATTATGTATTGGCAATGTACTTTAAGGCACTAAATTGCCGCATTGTTGTTGCGCATACTTGCCGCACATTGCACAATTTTTCTCAGGGGAAAAATTTTCCAACAGCAATTTCGTTAATGCAACATGCAGTATTGTTTTGCCATCATTGTTGTTGCTGTTCGTTCACATCGCTTACTTAGTGTGCGGACAAAAGCAGCATATTCCCTCATTTATTTTTATTTACTCAGTGTTTGTTTTTCTCAACTTAACATTACGAATGTGCGTAAATACTTAAGCCACTCACTCGCTTAAATAGTCATTGCTCGCCTTGCTGTATTTAGCGTTTAGGAATGCGTTTATGTTGCTGCGCACGCGGACGTGTTGCGATTTCTTTGCACTTACGTTCGACAGTTATTCGCTAAAGTGGCAAAGATGGACGAGAAAATCCACAACGGTATAATGTGTGGGATACAGCGGCGTTGGTCCTCTACACCTTTGCTGATCGATCGACTTTTAACACAGATGAAAGTTTACATAAGCCAGCGCCCGTGAATCTCATATCTATTTAGTATGTATTTATTTATTAATTTGCTATTTGTATTAATTATTCAGCCCACCCTTGTTTTCTCTAATTTACAAAACAGTTATCTTCATGCTTTACTTGCCACAAACAAGTTAGTTAAATTCCTTTGCTTACTTAGCCTTGCCTTGTTTGCACAACAATTAAATGCTTCATTGCTTGCACTTTGTTTTCATTACACTTGAGCTGCTCACTTAATACTTCCCACACGATCCCACGCCTATTGAATATCAAATTGCAGTATGTACGTGTTTAATGGCATAAACACTGCTCCATTCTATGTCACTTATGTATGTAAATGGTGGTTTTAAAAAGGCTGTTGAAGAGTTTAAAGCTGCTTTAGCAGGATATGAAAACTGAAAGGAAACAGGGAATAAGGAAGAAAGGAAAAACAGTAAATAATATGACAAAGTCGAACGAACGAACTAAACCAGTGTTTCTAAAGCTTCTTTAAAGAGCCAAAAAAAAAGGTAAAGCACACTTTAAAAATTTTAATGCATTGAAATGTTTCATAAGTCCCGTAAAGGATTCCAAACTGAAGTCATTTTGTTTATAAGTAGGTATATACATATGAATATACATAGAGGCAATAAGTCCGCCGGGTGAGCGGATAAACACTTACATATTGCCTGCCCGGCAGCAAATCAATTCAAATACAGTATATTCGAAGACTGTCATAGATTTTAAGCAGGCAATAAAAAGGCTTGCCATTGCCATGGATCCCAGGTCTCAAAGATGTTGATGGTAACGAACAAGCTAGCCAAAGATGGCGTCCATCCAGATGCCACACCAGCGACGAATGTATGTATGAAGTCCTCTACAGAAAATCACCGATGAAGTTCAAGACTTCTGGTAGGAGGATAGTCTCCAGCGATTCATGTTGGTCGTGTATGTATTTGGCAATACTACCAACGTTATTTTCGCCAGCATAGTCTAACCTAACCTAAGGTTAGATTGCCAGTTTGGTGTGGTCAATTAATGGGCATTGTCGGACACAATATAAAGTAGCTAAGTTACAAAGTAAGGAGTGAATGTTGACCAGTCTATTCAACGCATGGCGGCCAGTTTCAACGACCGCCTCAGAAACATTTTCTGGATCTGTAGAAATGAAGAATAAGAGTTTACTATGCACGTTTTTCGGTACTTTCAAGAGCTGTTTAAAGTTTATTAAATTAATAAATTTTTCGAAGACGATTCGTTGCTCTAAACTTTTATTGAGCGATGGGTTTCCTAAAAAAAATCTGGAATGTCGCAACAAAGTATTTACTGGTTAGAATTAGAAAAAATGTTAACCTAAAACTTGTTCCTTAGAAGAGGACTAAAATTGATATAATTCGAAACCCGGTTCTTGAGAGGCTTGATTCGTCGTGGTAGGGGCGGCTGACACTGCCAATCAGTACCGCTTTTAGGCAGCGGAAATCCCACGAACCATTTAGAGTCCCTGACGAACCTCGTCACGCGCCTTGGATTTACACATTTCTAAGGTATTTAGTCTAGCATCTCCTAAAATTTGTGCTATTGTTTAGATATAGTATAAAGCAATGGCCCACTAAAGCCCAAACGCTGTGAGATATGTTTGTACATATATCCGTTTTACTTAAAGAATATAAGCTTCGCCATATTTGTGTAGAGATCAGCCAGGTCGTGCCCTATGTACATCTTTTCTTTAGTAGAGCTTAAAAACCATTGTATGAAGAGCAGCGTGGTATTGTCCAGTAGTCCTTTTTCGGGAAGCACCCTACTACCCCCACTGCAAGTTCGGCCGCCATGCAATTATCCTCTATAACCCTGTGAGTGGGAACCCAATGAGACTAAGACTGTTTTGTTAAGCCATCCCCTGCAGAGATTGGCCCCAGTCCTATAGCTTTCCAACCACTCCTCCCTGCTTGCCATCTGCTTAAAGAAATTTCTATCCGGATCTAAAGTGTGAGTAAAACGATCCGTGCTGCCCGGTAAAAAGCTAGTTTGTTCAAAATACAGGAATATTCCAGTAGTCCCGGCCCCATCGTCGTCGCTTAATTAATCCCAGAGTTTTAGATCACTAAAAGACACTTTAAATAGCAATATTTAGTTGAAAGTTTCTCAGTGTCTATCGCGATTCTTCTAGAAAAAAATGCACCTGCAAGCAATTACTTGAAGGGCTTTAAGAGACTTATCGTCTTTGCTTTGCCTACAAAGTGAATGCAACTAGAGAAAATGGTAAATTCGAACAAAAAAAAAGTGATTATGTACAGCACTCGTAAACATATAAATAAATAAATAATAGTTCTATATTTCCACAAAGAGAAAAATGTTAATCGAGTTGATTATTTCCTATACCTTAACCTATGTTCATCCAACAGCCTTTTACCACCTGTTGATTTCTTTTTTTTATGACTTTTTCTTTATCTTTTCGCCTAGTTCTCTAGACACATTTAATTTCGTTATGCATTGTTCCATTTTTTTGCTGCCTTCATGGTTCCTTCTTTTCTCCATCATTTTTCATAGTCTTTTCACTTCGCTTAAATTTGTATCTTCTTTCACTTAGTAGCTCGCAAGAGTTGGGTTAATTTTAGGCGTTGAGCTCCATTTAAAATGTTTTTAAAAGTAACAAAAACAAAAGCAAACGAAAGCATTGGTTTACTTAGTATGAGTGGTTAAATAAAATCTGAAAACTGCGCTGTGGCACAACTATTAATTGTCGCCAAGCAGCAGTGAGTGGACGACAATGTCGTGTTAACTGGTGGCCGGCCAGCGTGGAAGAGCGAAAGGAGGGCCCTGGTACATTGGTTTTTTATTTTTTTTGTTCATTTTATGCTACGAGTATCTTTTATTTTTCTGTCGCATTTTGACTCGTATTTTTTTGTTGTCGTTGCGACCCAATGCACATTAAATATAATGCTTTTTAGTTGCTCCTTCCATTTTTTTTCCACGTTTAGTGGTTCGCACTTGAAGTTGCCTTTAGAACAAGTTTCGGAGAAGAACCACAACGGTAATCTCTGTTGTAATTCACTGGTTGGCATTCAAAAGCATAAATTTATGTATATGTTTCTTCTTTCTTCGATGGTTGAATACATATTTGTGCAGATATGTTTTTTTTTGTGCTTTAGACTCAGACCTCTCATTGTGCTCTTAGCACTGGGTGTCAAAACAGGAAATGACAAAGTAGCAACTTGCATCATTAATTACATATTTAAAGAATGTACCAAGTTTTATGGCAGCAGCAGCAGCAGCTGTTATGAGGATTAAGAAAGGTAATTTTTTATGCTAAAGAGAAAGAGTTGAGAAAAGAGGTCAATTTCAAGGTTTACGAAAAATGAATTAGTGAAAACCACAGTGAAGGTTCCCAGGAAGGACAAATGCTTTTTGTTCGATTATAATGAAGATGTTTGTATTGTTTACATAGCGCATGACTTTTATGACTTTTTATAAATATGTATAAGAAAATGTCTGGACAATATTTTTATCATAACAAAGATATTTTATGTCTTTTTCAACCTCAATTTTCATATGCGTTTTATAATTTACTAATCATTGATTGCTTTTCTCCCTGTTTTCATTACAGTTGCAGTTCGCGTTATGTCGGCGATCATTGTGAACATCTGAATCCTTGCTTTACCGGCTTGCTGCGTTGTCAAAATGGCGGCACCTGTCAGCCATCGTATCGTAATGACCGCCTTGGCATCTCCTGTTTATGTCCGCTTGGCTTTACCGAATCTCTGTGCGAGATACGAGTGCCAAATGCTTGTGACTCATCACCGTGTCGCAATAGTGGCTCATGTAATCTGAAAACATTGGATGACTACACGTGCTCCTGCATGAATGGATATACAGGTAAGTGAATCACGAATTTTCCTGAATGACGATAAAAACGCGCAGTTATCAAAAAAAAACACACAACTCGCAAAGTTTTGACTTTTGTTTTTGGGAGCACGTAACCCCGATTATATTTTTTCATTTATCTTTTGAGGCAAGAACAAAAAGTAAATTTCGCTAATATTTTTTAGCAAAGAAAATCCTCTTATTTTTACCATTTATAAAAATAAAGGTTAGGAACAGAAAGTACTCTATGTACTTTAGGCCCTGTCAGGTCGTAAAAGTCGTAAAATTTTTCTAAATGCCCAAAAAAAATTACGGAAATATGCTAAAAGTAAAAATCTGATAAAAGTAATAAAGAAGAGTCCGGAAAAATCTTGAAATATTCCAAAAAAGTCTTAAAAGTTCTAAAAGATCCTGGGAAACCTCTGTAATAGTTCCAAGAAATACCGAAAATGTTTCAGAAAAATCCAAATAAGGGTCCAAAAATTACCGTAAGAACTAGAAAAAGTAGCACAAGAAAAACCTTAAGAAGTCCCCAAAAAAAATAGGAAGTAGTCCCAAAAAAGCTAAAAAATGAACACGAAAAATCTCGAACAGTCCCTAAAAAGTCGTGAATGTTCCCGGGAATAGCTCATAAAAATCCAAAAAATAAAAACTGATTTATTTTGGTTATTTTAGGAGCACTTCCGACCGGTAGTTTGGCATGTAATAAAACATAAAACTAATTTTATTTCTCACAAAACTAACATCATTAATTATCTCCAACTTGCTAGGCGATTATTGTGAAACACAAAATCTCTGTGCCACATCACCATGCCACAATGGCGGCACTTGCACCTCGGTCAACGGTGGCAACAGTTTCAAGTGCATATGCCCGAAAGGGTTCAAAGGACAGACATGCGCCGAAGATGTGATAGAGTGCGAAGCGAACCCGTGCAAACATGGCGGTACCTGCAAGAATACGCATGGCTCCTACCAGTAAGTACTCAGTCTATCCAAATACACTTAACAAATAAATATATATTAAAACTAAAGAGACTTAGAATCGCAATTAAAGTAGGACTTAATTAAAACGTACCACAAAATCATATCGCAACAACCTGTTCCCAAAGGCTGTCGTCCCTCAGCTGTCCATTATCTATGGCTTTGCGTGTGGGAAAATTAATTGCGCGCGAATTTGTTTCATGCAAATTAAATGCTTGTTGAACAAAATGTTCAATAACACTTTGAAACAAATTCAATGTTATCGAAAAAATTTCTAAATATACGCTAAATTAAGTGCAATTTGAAACAATGCTAATGCTTAATTTATTTAACCGCAGCGGAACGATGGTTAAAAAAAAAATAAGTTTGGAAAAAATTTGCATTTGAAACGGACAAAAAATTACCAATAAATGTAATAAATTTTCAGTTGACAAAAATAAAATTAAAATAAATGTATGCACAATTTGGTCACCAAAGTGTGGATGTGACAAAATAAACAAGAAAACATATGTAAAACAGATCGCCAAAAATTAGAATGAAAAAAAAAATAATATTACTAAACGTTTTGTATAAATTAGACGTTCGCTGTATAGATCGCGCGTTTCTCCACTCAATCGGCATTTTTTCGCCTCATTCCACAGCTGAATTGCTGCCCCTACGCTTTACTGTTTCTTAATTTTTATTTTATTTTTTTGTTGTTTTCGCCTGCCTTTTTTGCCACCAAAAATACATAAACTAACTTTTCGACTGCCACCACTAAATCTCGCTAACGAACTGAACGCCATAAATAATGCGATAGATCTGCACAATTAAAATATAAAAGCGATTAAGATACTAAATCAGTGAGTAGCGTTTAATATATTTGCAATTCGAAATTGAATTAAATTGACAAAATGTGATTAAAATTACAAAAAAAAAAGAAACAAAAACTAAATTAATTTGCATACGAATATGGTAAAATGGTGGCGGTGCGAAAGCTGCGCTAATGCTGATTGGCTGAGCGGCAGCGTTTTTGTCCAAGGCGCTTGCGCATTGGAGCACTTTAACATATTTTTCATCTGATCAATATGTGATTGCTGCGTCCTATTGGGCACGAGTTTTCCATTGTTGCTTACTATATGCATTACATGCAG